GGACTGGCCTAGGGGTATTTTAAAGGGGTTTTAAATTAAATTTTTAGTAGAAGCGGCCAAATTTAAATATTTATTTTTAATCTTTTTAAATTTTGTATTGTATTACTGTTTTAAACTGGCTGTAAGCCGCCCTGAGTCCTCCGGGAGAAGGGCGGGGTATAAATTTAATAAAATCTAAAATCTAAAATCTAAATCTAATTTCAACTCTAATTTCCAAGGGTCATTCATGCCTCCTTTGTGGAAAAGACCTATTGATCCAGTGGTTGTCTTCTCAAAGACATGCCGTCTGGAGCCGATTGTGGGTTGATTATGGTACTGATAATATACCTTTCAGTGGCCATGGGGAAGTGGAATTTGGAAGTGCAAGAACTGATTTGGAATCCTGATGGTAATTAGTGAGAAGTTGTATCTCCTTGTGAGTGAGTATGTATTTGTATAGTAAACTGACAGAAAACTGTGAGCAGCATCACAGAATAACACCCACAGTTACTACAACATTGGACTTCCAGTGTCCCAACTTTGCTAAACTTTGTGCTTCCAGACTGGGACTGCAAAGCTACTTCCACATCCACAGATGATCCACCCAAGAGTGTCTTCTTCGAATCCAAAGGGCTACTGTACGTATGGTGGGAAGGAGAGTAGGAGGAGGAAGAGAAAGGAGATACAACTGCTGTTGAAAAACAGGGGATCCCCATCTCAGAACACACCACAAACATGGTTAACACCGAGAAGTTCTCCTTTCCGTCGATCCCACTCCCCTCCACATTAGAACAAGGGACTTTCTCACCCCTTCTAGCTCACTTGTTTTAGTACCTGAAGCCTGTCCCTCATTGGCAAAGAAAGCCTTGATATGCTCTTGGCGGAAACCATTTCGTCGAAGCATCTGGTAGAAAAGCAACAGGTTCTGGGCATGATGGGGATAGGTGACCTGCTCCTGCCAGCCACCTGTAAGAGAATGACTGTCAGTACTAAGCACCTTAAGCTAACATGCATCAAAACAATACAAGAGCTCCTATAGTCCCTGCCTGTATTCATCTTTCTCCAAAAGAATCTGTTGCAGTGGTCAAGAGGTTCAAACTCATCTCTCCATACCCCTTTTGCTACCACTTCCAAATGGGAATGAGCACCTCTTAGTACAGTGGTCCTCAACCTTTTTAATGCCGCGACCCCCAACCGGTCGTAAGTCGAGGACTAAACCGGTCGTAAGTCGAGGACTACCCAACCGGTCGTAAGTCGAGGACTACCCAACTGGTCATAAGTCGAAGACTTTCCCTGCCCGGGAGTGCCGCGCATGCGTGGTTCCGCCCCCTGCGCCGGCCGAGGCATAGCTGGCAAGCGGCAGAGACGGAGCAGGCCGACCACCAGCTGGCCCAGCCCAACGGAGGTAAGGCACCCGCCGGAAAAGGGGGGAAAAAATGGCGGACAAAAAAAATGGTGACAAAAAAATGGCGGACAGCCTTGCTTGGCGACCCCCGTGAAATGGTCGATCGACCCCAAATGGGGTCGCGACCCATAGGTTGAGAACCGCTGTCTTAGTAGCTCCCCAGCACCACTCCCCACCTGCAATCAGTACTGCATGATCACATGTCTGATACATGCGGCACAACTTGTACATCGGAGCCTGCTGGCGATGACACCGCCGTGTATTCTTGTTGAGCTCGCAGTAGGCAGCTGTGGAACTGGAACTGACAAGAGGCAGCGGCTGTGGGCATGGACTGTACCCATGGAGATCTGTGAAAGGAAAAAAAACAGCGGAAATAGCAAGATCTTTGAAACCGATCTACATGAGCTGAGGACACAGGCAGCTTCACAACGTCTGGTTTAAGAAAATGAGAACTAGCTGCCCCCAAAGTCTTAACTCATCCCGAATTTATCAGCATTGTCTATTACATTTTGCCTTCCAAAATTTCAAACTGTTCCACCTTTTCAATTTAGGCCTAGTCAGACATTCCTTCCTGCAGCCATCTTTTATGATGGCGCTTTGGAGGAAAGAAGCAGCAGAAGCAGGTTTAGGTTAACAGAGAAAATGATTTATTACACAATGAAGGACAAAGTCTTTCTAGTCTCATTGCCCTATAACAGTGGTGGCGAACCTATGGCACGGGTGCCAGAGGCGGCACTCAGAGCCCTCTCTGTGGGCACGCGCGCCGTCGCCTCAGTCCTAGGCATTCAGCTGGGTTTTATAAAACCTTTTCGCTTTAGGCCTCCGCCGCCGTGTGCAAAAAAAAAAAAAGGTCCAATCAATCAGTCAATTTCAACTTCTCGTGGGAAAAAAAAAAGATCTTGCAAAGTTGGAATTGATTGATTGAACTTTTTAGTCCCACCCAGCCTGCCGTTACCATCGCAGCCACACCCACCCAATGGGCCACACCCAGCCAATGGGCCACAACCACCCGGCACCCGACGATGCATAAGTGGGTTTTGGGTTGCAGTTTGGGCACTCGGTCCCTAAAAGGTTTGCCATCACTGCCCTATAACTCTCTCTAGACCCAGGGCAGACACCCACCTATGCAGTGCAATTTTTGCAGGTGCTTCAGATCCTGCGCGACCACTATCAGGGGCAGAAAATGTATCTCACAGAACCCTATTGGTGGCTCCTCGTGGCGCATGTGTCCTGTTGAGCGCTGGCTCCGCCCCTTGCCACGTCCTGGTCTGCGCTTCAGCTGGTTCTCACAGTGATTTCTCTGTACAGGAGTCAGGCATTCGTAGCTCCCTGCACGGAAGAAAATAAGCTCCTTTGATATAAAGCACTCAGAACAACTACACAGGTATTTTTCTGCAAAGGTCTGTTTCGTGACCTAAATGCATCGATCATCGGTGGGTTTCCAGGTTCAGTTCAAAGTGTTGGTTTTGATCTTTAAAGCCCAGGATAGTTTGACCTCCATATACCTTCTGACCTGCCTCTTCCATCTGGATATGCCCTATTCTATGTGTTCTTCCTGAGAGATCGATGCTGAGGATCCCCACATTAAATGTCATGAAGGGAAGAACCGAGAGGCTTCCTCTGAGGGACAACTTTGAAACCAGCTTTGGAACCACTTTCCTTTGAGGTTCACACTTTTTGGGCCTTTCATGAAGTACTCCAAATACCACTTTCTTCTGTCGGGGTTTTGGTGCTCGTGCCCTTTGATTAAATTCGTAGGATTGATCTTTGATTTCCAACTTTTTTACTGTTAGTATGTTGGGGTTAATATTACTTTTAGTGTTATTGTAAATTGCCTTCAGTCTCTGGAGTGGGATGGTGTACAAGTAGCTTATAAATATAAAATAAATACTACAGCACTATTGGCTACTAGCACCAGAAGAATGTTTTGAGGTTGATGTCAGCTTATGCCAAGCAACCTCTGCTCTTTTCTCTAGAAACATTCAATGAGCAAAAGTGAAATCACAATTGAGTTTGGTGCTATTGTTCCTCAGCTGCGCCTAAGCAAAATTAAAAAGAGCTGTCCTAGGCCTGTTTCTTTGTAAGTCCTACTGAATTCAGTGGGACTTGAATTTCTGGATCTATCCGTACAGTAGTATATGTTGAGTTGCTCATAATATTAGGTCAACCATTGCTAGCGTGTAACTGAAATACAGAAATCAAGCACATAACAATAAGCAGATTCTTCCTTCGATCAAAGCAGCTGTCGCTAAACAACAATAAATGAATTTTAACCATTACCCCATCACATTATCAATGCAGGCAGTTATGATCGGAACAATTAATTAGATGAACGGTACATTTTCAATCTGGGTTGACTGCTTAATAATGCCTTGCATCTTATTATTACTGAAGATAATCTCCTGAGTCTGACAGGAGATTCCCCTGAGTTCTACTGGTAGCTAAGGCAGGACTTTCCTGCCAGTTAGGAAGAGCAACACATCATAATCACTCATGATTATGCTTTCTTAACTTCTGACAATCTTGTGGGGAAAAGTTTGGCCATGCCAATTTTTTCTCCCTTGTCTGTCTGTCTATATCAGTGATGGCTAACCTTTCAGAGACCGAGTGCCCAAACGGCAACCCAAAACCTACTTATTTATCGCCGGGTGCCAGGTGGGCGTGGCCCACTGGGTCGGCATGGCTGTGGTGGTCATGGCAGACTGGGTAGGTGTGGCCAAGGTGGGCGTGATCACCTTGATGTTGCTCATGGGGAGGGATGCCTGTGGGGGGCGGGCAGGGTTGGGGGAGATCCAGGGGGTCTCTGCCAGGTGGGGCGGTGGGCAGGAGGGTCATCCTGCGGGATGAGGTGAGGCAAGATGAAGCAGGGCAGCGGTGCCATTGTCACAAGGCAAGGCAGGGGCGGGGCGGCTGCTGCCTAACACCATCAGCCCCTGCACACAGAGGCCAGCGAGCGCATGGGTGCTGGGATGCATCTGGCCACGTGGGACCTTGGCAAGTTAGCGGGCGGCTGGTTGAAGAGAGACGGTTGCCATCTCCGGGGCATGGCCCGTGTGCCCACAGAGAGGGCTCTGAGTGCCACCTCTGGCACGCGTGCCATAGGTTCACCACCACTGATCTATACCATCTATTTATTTTTATTAGCTATTTTTGGATCAGTGTTGATTCCTAGCAACCACCTAGACTAGTTCCTGCAGTGTTTTTGGCATGATTTTCAGAAGTGGTTTGCCATTACCTCCTTCCTAGGGCTGAAAGAAAATGACTACTAGACCAAGGTCATCCAGCTAGTTTCATGCTTAGCGTGGGACTAGAATTCACCATCTCCCACTTTCTAGCCCAGTGCCTGCTATACTAACTATCATATACTGAACTGGCTCTTTTTGTTATATTATCCTAATTGTTCTCCCTTAGCGAGAAACAATATGATTTTAGATACAGAATGGGGTTTTTTTTAGGATTTGTAATCTTACAATAAATGGCTATGGGGGCATCTGCCGTCAAGTAAAAAAAGTTAAGATAGGAGCCACAACTGTGTGATCAAAGCCTCGCTCCTTTTTTTACAATGCATTTTTTAAAAAGTTGGGCTTCAGTTGTATGGTCATGGATGACATCTTGACTATATGACTATTATTGCTTTCCCTGCAGATGCCTCATTTGATGAAAGAAGTGTATATTATGGATCTTTATTTTAACTGACTTTGCAAATTCTAGACTCATTGCCTTATATAGCATAAACACAAAACTGTTAATACAATTTGAAGATTTTTTTTTACACTGCTTGAAATTTTCATTTTAAGGGTCTGATTTCAACCATCTATAAGTAATACCTCTTATTTTAAGAAATATCTAATTTGATAATCCTTCTGGAAAAAATATATTTTCCTTTTCAATAGCAGACTCATATTAACATTTTCTGTAATCTGGACACTCCTTTAAAACAATTTCAACAAAGCAAGCTTTCCGTCCATGTGAATGAGAGGCATTTAAATACTGAGCCCTGGATGCCAGCACCCAGGAATCCTAAATTATTTGCCAATCTAGTAAAGGAAATTCCTTTATAATCCCAATTAGCACTTATGGCTATGCCAGATCTCCACCCCACCCCACCCACAAATCAGTAGAGAATATTATTAATCAAATTTAGGGAATCATTAAAAAACAAACCCTTGGAATACTGTGTACAGTGACCGCATCAGAAAAGAATATTTTACTGCAATTTTGGTTGCAAGAATGGATATATAAAATTATGAGGGGATCAGATCAATTTTTTTGTAAGGGAAACCTACAGTCTGTGGTGTTTTCACCCTTTCAAAAAATTAATCTCTGGAAGAACATGGCAGAGTGTTTATAATTATTCATAACATGATTTTGCTACTATTTCATAATTTATTCCCTAGAGATTCAGATGACAAAAGGTCTTCTTGCACTATTCAATTGTAGAGCACCCTGCCTCTAGGCAGAAAAATATATGACAGCATAAACTAAGTCAAATTCATGAAGTACGGTACATAAAACTTACTGGTAATTACAAGTCACGATGATTATATTTTCTCCAATCTAGGAATATTATGTCTTGAAACACCAATTTCCAAGTGGAAGTGGCTATTGCATTCCCATTCTGTTAGGTGATTTTCCAGAGGATGCTAAAACTAGGTAGAGTTCCATTACGTGAACCAGCAAACGGAACTGGTCATATTCGGAGCCACTACACGCAACAGTCTTGTCTCTTGTATTTTTCTAATGCCATCTAGGAAAGCATCATGGAATATCTAGCAAGACCATCTGGAGGCAGATAAAAGCAAGTGGTGTATCAACCATCCAGAAAAAAACTAATCTGGGGATAGGTCAAAGAGCATGACCTAAGGCAGGGGTAGGCAACCTTGGCTCTTTTATGACTCGTGGACTTCAACTCCCAGAATTCCTGAGCCAGCATGGCTGGCTCAGGAATTCTGGGAGTTGAAGTCCACGAGTCATAAAAGAGCCAAGGTTGCCTACCCCTGACCTAAGGAAATGAAAAGCTGGGCACAAAATCTAAACTCTACCGTCCTCAAACATGACAAATCCGGATAGAAGAATGACTATAGCACATTGCTTTCTAAATTGCTACATTCTAATGGTTATAAACGAGAGCCAGTTTGGCGTAGCGGGTTAATGTATCAGGCTAGAGACATGAGTTCAAATCTTGCCTAAGGCACCAAGCCAGCTGGGTGACCTTGGGCCAATCGCTCTCAGCCCAAGGAAAAAGGCACTGGGGCAAATCCCGTCTGAAATCTTGCCAAGAAAGCTGCAAGGACCTGTCCAGGCAGTCACTAGGAGTCGAAGCTGCCTCCAAGGCATAGACCAAAAAAAAAAGTATGATAACAGTGATGCTAACGATAGGTAAGGTTCCCTTCTCGGGAAAAATTACAGCTCCAAATGGCAAGAGGCAGAACATAATTATTTTCACGCCGCGTAGGGTTGCCAGGTCTGCTTCCAAAAAATAGCGGACAAGCGGGGGGGGGGTGTTAAGTAGTAAAAAAAAGTAGACTGTACAGCTTTAGATTACGTACCATTTCATCATAAAGCTTTTGAATAAAAAAAATGGGGGAACATAATGTGGGAAAAAAAATAGTGAACATAATGTGAAAAAAGCGGACTGTCCACTCAAATAGTGGACACCTGGCAACCAATCCCGCGTGGCCTGAACTTAGA